CCTCCCCCGCCCGCCCCCCCCCCTGAGGACGCCAGCCCCCCCCACCCCACGCTGCCTCCGACCCACTCCGCTCTTCTGCCAGTTCTCAGGCCTACAAGCTGCAGCCGGGTGGGGTATCCCCCCATGCACGGGGGCGGGGGGGCGGCCCTGCCCATATCGGCGGGGCGAGCGAGCCATGTCAGAGTTCCAGATTTCGGTGGAAGAGCTCAACGACCTGCTGGCCAACGGCAGCGGCTGTTACAGCCTCCCCAGCGCGCACAGTAACGAAGTGGCTCCCCGCATCCACGTGGGCAACGCGTGAGTTTCGCCCCCCCGCCCCCGTGCATGGGGGGATACCCCACCCGGCTGCAGCTTGTAGGCCTGAGAACTGGCAGAAGAGCGGAGTGGGTAGGAGGCAGCGTGGTGTGGGGGAGTCTGGCTTCCTAAGGCGGGCAGGCGGGCGAGGAAGGAGCAAGCTGGCTCGCTGCTGGAGAGAGTGGGTGAAAAGGTACGCCTCTTCGTGGTCGCCGGGAGCTGGCCTAGTGGTAGTGCTAGAAATCCCCTGTCGCCTTCAATTAAGCCTTGACTAAATTTAAGTCCTCCTTCACCGAATCTTCCCAGCAGGTGTGCTCCAGATACGCGGGAGGGCTGACAGCTCCCATCATTCTGGGCCCATGCTGGACTGGATAATGGGAGTTGTAGGCTAGCCCATCTGCAGGACACATGACAGTAGAAGCCTGGATTAAGCACTTCCTGAGTTCCCAAGACACATTCCTTGCTGTGTGTGTTTATTTATTCAGGTTACATGGCCGTCCACTCTCTGGGTGGCTAAGGGCGGCTGCTCCCGTTCTCCAGTGCTGTACAAACTGGGTCAGGGAAAGGAGGGGCTGAGCACAAAATTTGGCACATTCCTGACTTGGAAGCTCACTTCATGTCACTCTTTCCCCAGCATGCTGTCTTCCAGCTGTGGTTGGGTTATAACTTCAGAACAGCCATCTGGAGGGTACCAAGTTGTGGAAAGGTGTTCTGTATAGCTCTTTTGGGGTCTGAATACAGTATATGAAATCGCTTTACGCAGAACCAAGCTGTGAGCCCAAGTACCCAGGACCCTGCCTATAGCTCTTTGGACTCCTTTCCATCACTTAGTTACTGGGCCGTTAACTAGAAGTGCCAGCATGGGAGTCCTCAGGGGGATGAGAAGAGCCAGATGACAACACATATATGGTTACATCATCATGCAAATGTACTTATGTACTTATGTCAGTACATAATTACAGCAGTTGGTAATAATGTTTTCACACACTCATCATTTTGATGTCATCTTGGCTTGTTACGGACACTCCTGGGTATCAATGAATGTGTCTGGAACAAACCATATGCTCTGTCCACCAGCTGTGGTCATGTCATGCTGAGTGAATACTATCATCTGTATTCTGGCATGTGCCTACTCCACTTAAGAAGTAGGTGGACTCACTGGACCGAAAATAGAGGAACATTTTCTGTCATATATGTAGGTGTGTTTCCTGCCAGGAGAGAAACATCTCCACATCTAAAATGCATAATTCATGCTCACAAGCCTTGAGATAGACATCAAACAATTAGCCACCTAATTTAATTTTCTACAAAGTTAAATCCTGTTCATTGGTCTTGAGTTTGTTTCTGCTTGAGCTCAGCATAGCTTAAAACAGAGTTATTTATTCCTCAGGTTGCAAAATCTAAGAGTGTTTTATTAGGAGGGAAATGGGCAAGGTCTCCCTGAGTAAAGTTTGACTCCTTGTGAGGACACAGGCATATCCATAGAATTTTCATAGCAACATTGCAGAAGTGATTAGCTATTACCGTATTTTGGGATTTTTAATTTTTTTCCCCTCAGGCTAGCCTGTAGGCCTGGAGTGTTCTAGTGGTCTCTTGTCCAAGGATGAACCCAGTCTGACTTTGTTTAGGTTTTTGTTTTTTTAATCAGGCATGGTAAATTGATTACTGTTACCTGGATTGGGCTAAATCGACGACTTTTGCTTTCTACGTTCCATTAACTTTGTACAAGTCTACAGAAGTTGTGGATAAAGTTTGTGAGAAACTTTTATGGTATGCATTGGAACATTAGGGCAGTGATAGCCCCCAATCTTTCTGTAACTAATGCAGTGAAACTTGGGCTGGAGGACTTGTAGCCTTCCAGATTTTGTTGAACTACAACTCCCAACAGTCCAACAAGCATAGCCAATGGGGTGGCTGTAAGTTCAGCAACACAAGAAAGCCATAGAGTTTCCCTACTTCTACATTAAGTCTTGGCTTCCAGGGGAGTAAGTGCTGCCTTTCTTTAAATTAAATATTTTTTGTCTGTTTGTTTGTTTTGCTCTAAAGCAACATCCCCCCAGCTGGATGCTCTCCCAATGTCTTAGACTACATTTCTCTTCAGTCCCAGCCAATACAAGCAAGGCTAATGAAAATGTTACCTAAGGAAGGCTGCCTTCAAAGCACTGCATCACACTGAGTTTTCAGAATTTCCTAATCCATTCCTGCCCTGCAATGTTCCTTTCTCTTGGGTTGGTTTATCTGAGTGGTGGTGGTTGTTAATAGTAGTATGCAAGTGCAATGCATGAACGCCTAGCAGCAACTTATTATGACATTCTTGATATTGCTTTAGTGAAAATAGCACAAAATAAGTTTATTGTTATGAACACAGATCCTAACAAGATAACATAACATAAAAAGAAAAGAAGAATTGTAATAAAAAGAAATGCAACATAGATAAAAAGTACAACATACAAAGAAATTAAGTTGAACTAAAACCAAGGCCACCATTTAAAAAGTTTGCATGCTTTATGTGGAGTCTTGCCATTGGTCTGTCTAGACAAGTCTTGTCTTCTCTGGCTGGCAGTAGCCTTCAATCTCTAAACGATGGAGTTTGATCCCGGGTCTGCCACCTGCAGTAGCAAAACATTTATTTGCTCATCCTATGCGTTACTCATAGGGCTCTCCATGAAGTTATATATAGTGACAAGACAGAAAGTTTCCTCTTTTGCAGGTCAGCTGTCTTTTTGTGGCAAAAAGTTTGTTCCAGCCGCCCACTTTTTATAAATGGCTGCATATTAAAAAAAAAGTATGCTATGTCACCTTCCACAAAAAGTGTTGCAGTCTCCTTTGTCACTTCCAAATTGTTCCACCTCATGCTGATGCCCCTGTTGACCAGGCCTAGTTATAGGTGTTGAGAAAAAGGTAAAGATTCCCTTGATACTAAGTTTGACTCTTGGTAATTTTATGAACAATATCTGAGTAGTTTCCTTGGCAACAGTATAGAAATGGTTTGTCTTTGCCTTCTTTCAAAATGCTTTTTTTTTTTTTTACTTCCCATCTAATCTATAGCTTTTGGTAGTCTCTTATTTAAGTATTAACCAGGTTCAGCTCTTGTTACCTTTCTTGAGGTCAGCCAAGAATGCCTAAGTGTTGCCACCTATTATGACATTCTTGATATTGGTTTAGTTAAAATGGCACAGGTTCATTGTTCAAAAGCTTGCTTATGCAAACATTTAGGCATTTTATCTTTTCTTGGTTAAATTCTCCAGAATCTTGGCTGTGGTCTTTCTGCCATCTCCTATCTCATCCTCCTAAGTGAAAATGCCAGGGACTGATCTTGGGGATTTCTACAGGTGTGAACTGTTGGTTACTCTGTGAAAAATCATTGCTGGGCGAGATGGCTGACATATTATGGTTTTGCTAATTTGGTTGTATTTTATCTGGGTTTTAAAAAGCCCTCAAAGCTATCTCCTATAAATAGCAAATTGTTCTCCATTTTCCTTGTGTGTGATATTTGTGATACATACATGACTGCCAACAAGAACAAATCTTTATGAGCTCTCTGTTGTTAATGTCAGCCATCCAGCTGAGTTATTTTCAATTCCATTCCACCGTACCTACAATTTTCTGTTTTTCCTTGTCACCATCTATCTTATTTCTGAGGCCATAGAGCATACTCAGTCAGTTTATGTGGTTGAGTGTGCTCAGTCCTCCCTGAACATTTTTTTGGAAAAGTTTCCTATACCATTAAGTCACCTCCCTCAACCTGATATTGTCCAGATGTGTTGGGACAGCAACTCCCTAGTTCAGCGTTTCTCAACCTTGGCAACTTTAAGATGTGTGGACTTCAACTCCCAGAGGCTGGCTGGGGAATTCTGGGAGTTGAAGTCCACACATCTTAAAGTTGCCATGCTTGAGAAACACTGCCCTAGCCAATATGGCCAAAGGCTAGACGTTCTGGGAGTTGCTATTCCAACTTATCTGGACAGTGCCAGTTGTGAAAACTGATGCGAAGTTTTTTTCCTAAAGAAATGTTGTACTTTGCAAATATGGAGGTTCCCCAAGCCTACTGATATATTACTTTTGTGCATGGATGTTACTGTTTTCCATTATATAAGAATCTATAGATAGTATGAGATTATTAAAAAATAATTTGGACTCAGCTATTGAAACTGGTAGGGAACTGGTAACCAGAGATTTCATTGTACTGTTCTAACCTAGTTCTAGATCAGCTGTCCAAAAAAGTTACTTATATATAACATTTTTAATAAAATACTTTATTGTATTTTAGACCATATGTTTGTAGTGCTTTAAAATTCAGGCAGACTATCTAAAATATGGGCAGATTCTTGAAAAGTCAAGATAAGCATGGCCTTTTATCTCAAGAACCTATGGTGCTATTTCCAAGGCAGACCTCTACATGACTGCTCAAAAGTAAATTCAAATTACTCTTGTGTGTGGTAGTCAAGATTGCAGCATTAGCCTGTTTGAAATTAAAGACAGGCTGTAGATAATTAGAATATAAAGTTAACATTGCTTTTTAAAATCAGCCCTGCTATGTGTCTTTAATAGCAACATAACACAAATATATTTCTTTGGCATGTAAATAAGTGGTAGAGAAACGTTGCTACATTTTTGTGTGTCAGGCTGTTGTTCAAGGCATGGGGCCAAAGCCAGTGAGAAGGAAAAACCTACATTTCTCATGATATGGTTGAAGAATAAATACTTTATATAGTAAATTAAGTTTGATTGTACAGTAAATATTGTCTATAGTAAATTAGGTTTCAGTGCATAGTAACTTAGATATGAATAACCCTAGTTTTTCCAGTTGTTTTAGGCAATAATTGCCATAATTCCCAGTTGCCATGCAGATTGAAATTTGTGAGAATTGTATACCAAAGTATCTTGTGGCAACCAGATCTGACTATCTATACTAACTTATTTTGAATAGGAGGAGGTTAAACTATGAAATCCCTAGCTCAGCATACTGATATAGCCACTGCTATCCATGACTGAGTCCTGCA